TTAACAATTTAGAATTTTTGTGAGAAGAAATTAAAAATATTTAACATTTTCGAGAACAAATAATTTGAAAAAAAATCAAATCAGCTGCTATACTGATATTACCTGTTCAATGTGCATTGGTTTAATTGTATTTTTGGAATAAACAAAGTTCTTTTTCCTTTGTCAGTAAACTGTTTTTTGTTTACAAATAGTATAAATAAGCAATGGGAAATAAGGCAAAATTTGTTTTATTTCCAACCTTTGTTGGAAATAAAGCAAAACTCAGATTTTGGTATTATTTCCCATTTAAAAGTGAAATAAAGCAAATTTTGCGTTATTGCCGGTTGTGTTATTTCACCCCCCTGTAGCGGTAGCTTTCGGAAAGGTGAAAAACATATATTTAATATTTGCGCCGGGTATTTAATGTTCGGCTCCGCCCGATCTTAGACTTTCTTACTGGTTTTATGTGTCTTTTTTTGCCGTCGAAACGCTAGTGCGCCTTTATGCGTCTCTTTTGACGATATGATTGTCATTGGGACATGATTTTGTTTAGATTTTTGTAAAGTGGGTTAAAAAACTTACGATTGCTATAAATTTTGTCCCCCTTTTTGTTAAGATTTTAAGATTTGGTGCTTTCAAACTAAAAACAAAAGCACCAAAAAACGCACTAAGCACTAAACTCCAAAATTTTCGCGTTTTGAATAAAGAAAAGCACTAAATTTGGTGCGAAAAGCACTAAGTTGGCAACAGTGCTTTTACACGTACAATTGGATATTGAAATTGACACTGAAAGGATAATAGAAAGATTGGCAAAAGGAAAACGCAAAATTGAGTTTGAAATTTAAAGAATTATAGCCAAAACTGACGGTAAAAATGTTAAGTTACTTCGACAAACATTGTAAGCAAGAAATATATTGCTTTAATAAACCCAATTTATCTTGTGTTTTTTTTTACAAAATAGTATTATTGTTTTATTACAGGGGACTCTGTAAACAGGGACGTGAACCGGTTTTGAACCGAACCGGTATTGAACCGGAAAACCGCTTTTTTTCTATTAATTAACTGAACTATCAACCGAACCGAAATTTTCCACAAATGTTCGATCCGAACCGAAAACCGAACCACTTTCCATAAAGGTTTAAAGGTTCGTTTCAACCAAGTTTTAATAGATAAATGTACCCACTTTTTTTCTTTTTGTTAAACAGGGTAATACCTACCATGTGACAGAAAGATAGAAGAAATACGTGTATGATAAAATTTTGGAAAACGGGCGTGGCACCGCCGTTTTCTGGGTAACCGATCAACCAATTTATACCAAACTCGGTATGGCTATTGTGCTTGCCAAATAAAAGCAAAATGTTGAAAATTATTGAAATCAGACTAAAATTGAGGCCGCTTTTCATATAACGGCAAATTTCAGAAATGCTTGAAACTTCAATATTTCGAAATTTAAGGACGCTAAATTACTCAAAATTGATACACCCCGGCTTACCATGTTGCGGTGGCTTTCGGAAAGGTGAAAATCATATATTTAATACTTTCGCCGGGTATTTAATGTTCGGCTCCGCCCGAACTTAGACTTTATTACTTGTTTGTTTTTCGAACCGTTGAACCGAACCGAAACCCCGGTTCAAAGACCAAAAAAACCGCTTTGACGAACCAATCCAAAAGTGCAAAAACGGTTCGAACCGCTGAACCGAACCGACAAAATTTTTCATCCGGTTCACGTCCCTGTCTGTAAATGAAACTTACACCCAATTGGCAAAATGAAACTTCACACTCCATAAAAATACTCGAACCTCTATTATGCTTGCTTCTCTCAAATCCACGCTGTAAATTTTTTGAGAAGAGAAAAATCTTAGCTGTACTTTTTGTGCTTTTTAGACGATGTCATATAGACACCTGAGTGGAAGATCGACCTGTCTCGGCAGTCAGTTCGAAAACGCACTATCTCAAAAAAATTTTCAGGAACGCCTCATTTCAGAATTTGGTTGAAGAACGCCCTATCTCGGAATTCGGTTCAAAAGCGCCCTATCACAAGTCACAAGTTTTGTTAAAACTCTTATCTCATGACACACCTATGATAGAGGATAAAAAATTGCTGACCTATTAGAAATTTTTCCGTGCTTTTTGTGGAAGCTATATAAAAAAAAAATGTATCACATTTTTTAAATAAAGGTACCATTTTTGGGTTTTTTTCCGCAAATAGCTTATTTCAATAGCTTATTTTCTCGGCTTTCAACCAATATATAATTTGTATTGGACGTGGCAAAAGGACTATAAGTTTTTCATAATAGAACGCACTCGGGTCCGCTTTGAATTTTTGCCGGCAATAACACAAGTTTACAGGAATGACAAAATTGTCCGACCAGCGATATTTTTATATACATTCTCATGTAAAATTTCCCGCTGAATCCGAATATGAAATTAAAATGTAAGAGAGTAGAACAGTTTTTGAGATACAGCTGAATTTCGGGTTTTTGAGATCTGAAAAAAGAGTTGGTCAACCGCGACATTTTTGTACGAATTTTTATGAAGAATTTTCCGCTGAATCCAAATACGAAAACAGAATACAAGAAAGTAGAAAAGTTTTTGAGATATGTATTGCCAAATTTCGGGTGCTTAAGTGCAATTTTATTTGGATGTACATATTTGGCCAATCTTAAATTTCTTTTTGTATTAGTAAAGGCTATTAAATTTGCTATCAACTGCTTCAACACGATTATCTAACAAGATAAGAAATTTAGAATGCATATAAAAATATCGCTGATCGGACAATTTTTTAATTTCTGTAAACTTGTGTTATTGCCGACAAAAATGCAAGGCGGACCAGAGTGCGTTCTATTATGAAAAACTTCTAGTCCTTTTGTCACGGCCAATAAAAATGTATAAAAAAAAACAAAAACGGTACATTGCTTAAAAAATGCAGTTTAATTTTGTTATTGGAAATTTTTTGCAAAAAAACTTTTCCCAAAAAATATACTTTTCACCAAAAAGCACGGAAATAGTTTTAAGAGTTCAGTAATTTTTGATTCTCTATCATAAGTGTGTCTTGAGACAAGAGTTTTAAGAAAACTTGTGACTAAGAAAAATAGCTGAAATTTGCATGTTTAAACTCATAAACTCGACAAAAAATCGCGGTGGAAAAAATCTTTGATACATTGGTTACCAGTAACCATAGCAAAATCGTGGTGAAGTTTGAACAAAATGCTGCCATAAAATGTTTTCCTGGTACACTTGGCGAATTTTGAGCCGTATATTACCGCATAACTTTGGACCACGTTAACCGATTTATGTAATTCTTTTTTATTAAGCAAGGTGGTACCTCATAGGTGGGCACATATTAATTTGGTCTACATCCGATCATTGGATCATGAAAAAATTAACGGTACTCTTAAATTTGTATATAGAAATTGAAGGTGGTTTTGTTTTTTGCCTAAAATTACTTGTTTTTTTTGAAACTATCAGGAATTTAAGTACACCACAACTTTTGTTCCGGAATGTTTCGATTAGGATGCCGTTGTGGGTGTGCCTGGTGCCTGAAAGTAAAAAAAGCAATTTTTCAATTGACACTGAGGCCATACCACTCGTCCCATACCATTCATGCGGATATCAGTGGAAATATTTGAAAACAAGTTATCAAACGATGTCTTTTGAGCTTATAAAATATGAACATGTTATGGCATTATGGGATTAAAACTAAAAATTATGCTACGGGAAATATATATTTCGGGCATTTTCTCGAAATCTGGTCAGCCAGTTTTCTGGCTCGAATTGATCTCCCTATTTTCTAGTCGTCCGATTTTACCGCAACCTAAGTTATTCTTTTTTTATTATCTTTGTTCTACCATAACTCGTGTGATTATGGCAACTTAATGTAACTTGCAGGCTCTCACTTAGACATTCTCTTAAATGGATGTTGCTTATAATTGAACAGCCGAAACTTAACGTAACGTAATGCCACGTCGAATCTGTTTCATTTTAATTTTCTAAGTTCTACGTTCCGGTAAGTTAAGTTAAGTTAAGTTGCCATAACCAGGCTTTTAGGGCTTTATACGAAATTTTTGTAATATTTAGAATGAAACCGAAATGCAAGCGAATATTCGAATTATGCGGAAATGCTACAGATAATTCAAAATTAAGTCTTTAGAAACTTTTGCAAAAGGGTAAATGCTTATTAGTTTAAAGTCAACAAAAAAGACAGTGGGGTTTCGGATAGCGTATGAATTTGTAAGTTATATTGATTGAAACCCAGTACAGAGATTAGCAGCAACGACTGGAAGACTAGCTAATTCTAGGCAGGTCTAAAGAGCAGCTGCAACAACAACAAAAGCAACAACAATTATCTTTTCCACCACACCACAAGTTTCCACGATTGGGACTTGATAGCTTTGACAGTAACTAATTGCGCCCACATTTGCTCCATCCTCATCGTTTCCGCTTATCACCTCCACTTTAAGTTAATGAAACAAATTTGTGAAATTCGAAACGAGTTTCGTTTGATCCCGACTGCCACAATTTGGCACTAGCTCTTGGTTGCGAATTTACGATTCCCTTCATAATCTAAGTCAGTCCCTTATACCCATATCATTTACGACTGCGTTTATTTCTATGAAAATTTTTATTTTTATGAAAATTATAAAAACTACAAAAATTCTAAAATTGGGGAAATGTTCTAATCATCATTTACATGCTTGCTACTAGAATTCTTAGCTTAGTAATCCTGGTTTAGGCTTTTGCTGCTTTTCCATGACTGGTGCATGCCATGGTAGTTGGTCTGCTTTTGAGCGGGAGCGCTCTTGCCGAAGGGGCTCTTGGAATTCACTTTGAGTATATAGTCACCTTCCAAATCGAATTCGGTGGCGATACCCATGTAAGCGCGCTTGCCAGCTCCCTCGTTATTGACGTATTGCTCCATTGAGTTGGCGGGGACAGCGGGGAAGTTGCGTTCATTACCTGGGCGGACTGTTTCAGCGTAGTAGCGTGTAGCACGCATAGATGCCTCAACTACATTGGTAGCACCGGGAACACTGCTTGCTGGACCGTTGACATAGAAGTCGACATCGCCGACGCGTTGGCGTGTACCCATGCCGCAGGTCGAGGTATGAATGGCATCGACCAAGTCGGCATCTCCACGGGCCAAACCAGTTAGCTCATACTTGTTAGTGGCAAACATCTTGGAGGGGTCCAGCGCTGTGATACGGCGGAGTTGATGTCCAGTCAAGCGTCTGTATTGGCGACCGGCTGCGCCTGCAACCTGAGCACCGATACCCTGGGCAACAATGTGGATGATCTCTTGTGGCACATCAACTTCGTTGGTCAATTGCACTAAAGCTTTGCCAATCATATTGCCAGTTTGTTCTACATCGAGGAGGGCGAAGCGCTTCATGTTGGTCAGGGTGGAACCTAAGTTGATGATCTGCGCAAAAAGAAGTAACAACGTTAGTAAAAGTTTCGAGCTTCATAAGTTAAAAAAGAGCATTCTATAACTTACGACAAGGTCGCCCTTGGTGGCTTTCGGGTGCTTCCACGATTCACTGTAGTCTTCTTCACTTGAAGTGGCTGCCTGATTGCCATCATCGTAGTCCTTGTTGCTGTTAATGGGCTGTTGCTGACCATAGTAGCGCTGCATGTAGGCCTGAACCAATTTTTTGTTTGCCTTTGCGACTGCAGGGCTGGTCTGGGGCAAGCCAGTGATGAAAATGGTAACTTCCTCATTGCCAAAGCTGGGCTGTTTCTTGGCAGCGTCGACCATCTCATTCAAAGTGGTTTGTTCGGGTTGACCATTGGGTTTCATCAAGAGAACTGGCACATTACTGGGACTTGGCACAAATGATGGTTCCAACGCGTGGTTAATTTGTGAGAGGTGATCTTGAAATAAAGAGAAATTGGAAAAGTTACAATATTGTATAAGTAGAAAAGAAAAAGAAAAATAACACTCACAAATTTTCTCAATTTCTCGTTCGCCTTCCTCCACTGACATGTTCTCCAACTGCTGCATAGTGAAATCCTCAGCTGACTGCATCGACTGGAGTTCAGACACCGATAACCAATCAGTGGGCTTTAAACTACTCGAGACGGCATTATCCTTGTTCTTGCCATGCTTGGGTGCAGCACTAGCGGCTGCGACAAGTAAAGCCACGAAGCAGAAAATCTTGAGCGGATTCATGTTGATCACGTTTGCAAGTCAGCGCGAAATGTGCTTTCAACTAACTCGGTGGTGGTTTATATATGAAAGCCCAATCGACTTTCGACAGCCGTTGCCGTTCGAAAATCTCTACAAGTAATTGTTTATAATAAAATTTGCGCGAGCATATTTTTTCAGTCAAAAGTGTTTATAATATTCGTTGCAGAAGGGCGTTGACCGAACCTTGAACGAGGGCTCGTGGATGGCAAAGTTGTGCAAGCGATTTTTGCTGAATTGCAGTATTCACCTACAGGTTTAGTTTTAATAAGTTGTTGCAAATATTAGCTGCAGTGTAAAAACAATTTTTCTTTTTGTAGCGATAAGGCTTATCGATAAGCGCGTTTTGTTTCCCATGTACATATGTACATATGTGTTAGTGCAACTAGCACGGCACGTCTTTTTAAACGATCTACTCTTGCTTAGGAAGTCTGAGTTGAAACGAAAATTTGTAATTATATCCCGAATAAGTATGCAAGATTTTTTTATTAAAGGCTAAGGCCTGAAAAAATCTAGGTTTGGTGTCTTCAGTTATACTGAAAGTTGATGTACCTAGACTTGCACTAATGGAATGTCCAAGATGACTTTAGTTTCCGACACAAAAGCTAAAAAGATTTTGCTTAGAATGTGTTTCGACATCTTATGTTTCTCAATACCAAACCGGGATTCTTTCTTTATAAACTGTCCAGGTGGATATGATAATGCTTTGGGTTATGAGTTATGATCGTTAGATAAAAGATAAAGGCCCTCCGTAGCTTACCCATCAAGTAATTAAGAGATCATTTATGCATTATGAAAAAGAATGACATTCGCAAAATCAATTTGATTAATCAGGGAATAACTCAATTATTTAAATTATTTATTATTAAATAATTCAGTCAAATTAGGGTTGGTTTTCGCATAGAGCTTAATTAAGTAACAGTAATTTTAGGGCTTTAACTGAATTAATCTGCGACGCTAGTATTGATAAGTTCTAATCAAACCCTGAGAAGTTAATGCTTCATTACATCACAGTTTTGTTTTTTACAGAGGGATAAATTCTTGTTTTTTTTGGAAAACAGTCTACTATATTTCATGAAAAATTATGTATTTACTCTTCCCCATTAATCCGAAGGTTTTTGTTTTTGTTGACCCCTAATAAAATTTGCTGCTTAATATTTTTGTGAAATGTTTAAACTTCTAACTGCAATATGTCCCTACCTTTTGTATGACAACATCATAATTCGATGGTGAAGCTCTGTCACAAACAAACATATGAGTAGTCCACTTGCAAACAGCGTTATGTGATTTTATAATAGTAAGCCATAAATTAAAAAAAAAACGTCTAGAACAACAAGTAACATCCAAATTGTACATTTCTTTTTATTATCTGAAAATTTGGATAAATAAGAGCCTAATAACATTAAACATCAAAATCGCAGTGTGGTAGTTTTTGCAAATTTAATATATAGAAATTAAATATAGCGAATTTTGAACCAGTAAGTTTTATATAGCCAGCTTTTTTAAGCTTTTCGCGTTCTCTCTTCCATGAAGGTTGGTCTGCTTCTTTTTTAAGACGTCTACTACGTCTACTAGGCACCGAAACTACCACGTTTTCTTGCAGGGGGGTGAAATAACACAAACGGAAATAACGCAAAATTTGCTTTATTTCACTTTTAAATGGGAAATAATACCAAAATCTGAGTTTTGCTTTATTTCCAACAAAGGTCAAATATTTTACACTTCTTCTCTCAAAAATTCTAAATTGTTAAAATCTATTTGCATGTGAAACATTTTCCATACAAAACCAGCGATTAAATAGCAGCTTTTGGAAAGCTCGCCCAACTCAGTAGCATAACCGCTGATTACTGGGCCTGGCACTGGATGGATCAATGCTTCGAGAAGCGAACCAATTTACTAAGAAAGAAAGTTGCAACAATTTTCATTTTTATACCCGAGCGCACTTGTGCACAATGGTATTATAACTTTGTTCACATAACGGTTGTTTGTAACAGGCAAAACGAATCGAGATGGATATAGACAAATGTATACATAAATGATCAGAATGAAAAGAGAAATTGATTAAGCGGTGACTGTCTGCCCGTCCGTCCGTCCGTCCGTCTTTGCACACGATAACTCGAGTAAAAATTGAGATATCTTAACGAAACTTGGTACGTGGACTTCTTTTGGGCGTAGGACGGATGGTATTGAAAATGGGCGAAATCGGACAATAACCACGCCTACCTCCCATATAACGGTAATTTTCAGAAATACGAAAACTGCGATATTTTAGTACTGAAGATAATTCACTCAAACTTGATATTTACAATGAGTTTTAGACGGAAAGTAAGAATATTAAAAAATTTTGGTAAATGGGCGTAGCCACGCCCACTTATGGTTACATGTGTATATCTTGGTAACCGCTGCACCAATTTCTTCCAACCTTGGCACAGTTGTTGGTCCTGGTACAGCATACCAAATGGCCGAAAATTTTTAAAATCGGACAATAAGCACGCCCACATCCCATATAACGGTAATTTAGAAAAATACGAAATCCTTGATAAATTAGTAAATATTAAAGCTAATTTATTCAAAATTGATGGTTGCAACAATTCTTTACCAAGAAATACGTTTATGATAAAATTTTGGAAAATGGGCGTGGCACCGCCCACTTATGATCACATATATGTATCTCGCTAACCGCTCTAGCAATTTGTACCAAACTCGGTATGGTATTGTACTTGCCACATAAAAGCAAACCGTTGAAAATTGTTGAAATCGGACTAAAATTACGGCCGCTTTTCATATAACGGTAAATTTCAGAAATGCTTGAAACTGCAATATTTCGAAATTTAAGGACGCTAATTTACTTAAAATTTATATAGAAGAAAAAAATCAGAACAGTTTTTGGCACCTTCGATACCAGAAGCAACAACAAAATACAGGTAAATGTTGTTTTTGCTCAAATGCCTGTTTGATAGGCCTTGAATTAAACAAAAAATGTGATATAATTCATATGAAGAAAGTAATATTCACAAAATATTTTTACTTATGAAAAGTCTAACAAAATATAGGAAAAGCATCGTCTTTAAAAACTGCTCCGCATTTTGGACATAGCCCTTTTGTATGAATTTTTTCTGCATGCTTTTTAATATGTTAAAAACATTGCTGGAAAACCTTAAAATGTTTGCATGGAACCATGTCGCAATAAACAGATGAAGTAATAAAACGGCTTTCTCACTTTATTTTCTGACATACGGCTGCCTTATAGTCACATTTTATAGGCAAATTTTCAAATAAAGCAGTGGCACCTGGTAAATTCCACTACGGGTGGGATGCATGCAATAACACCATACACAATAATTCCTATTACTTGGACATTAAAAAGCAGTTTCAGAAGTGAACTAGTGTTATTTTATCATTTTTCCTTTTTCTAAACGGTTATAATGCCACCAGTACATAATTGCGAAAGGAGGGGCGGGGCGGGGGACGCGAGTGCGATGACGAACGCGGCGCGGGGTGGCGCGGGGCGGCGCGCGAACGCGGACCGCCGCGACGCCGGGCACTTTCAAAATTGTATACTTACAAATCCGTCCAATTAACTTGTTCATGTACTACTTTTTGTCAAATGTAACTGGGTGACTACCTACATATGTCCACTATTTTGCTTTATTACTCAAATTAATTATAAAAGTCGGTCTTATTGCTCAACGAGAAATGAAATAAAGCAAATTTGTGTTATTTCACATTTAATTGGGAAATAACACAAATTTGCGTTATTGCCGTTTGTGTTATTTCACCCCCCCATTATAGCGACTTTTGAAATTGTATATATACATACAGTAAGTATTATAGCGACTTTTGCTATAGTAGCTAACATTTGATACTATTTTTTCAGAATATATAAGGATTTTGCACTGTATTGTTACTGGACATGAAACTAGTTTAAATACTGGTACGTTAATTATCAAAAACTAAAAATCTAAAAAAATTTACATAGCGCACTTTGCAAGTGGACTACTCATATAGTGTAAGCGCCAATCTATTATTATAATATAATAACAGAATGGCGCTTACACATATGTTCGTGTTTGGCCGAGCTTCTCCTCCGATCTGTGGCGTGCGCCTTGATGTTGTCACACAAAGCTGTTGGCAGAAATACACTCGGAGGTTTGCTATTGCCCGCCGAGGGGCGACCGCTGTTAAGAAATAACCTTTTTTCTAATTTTTTTTGCGATGTTGCTTTAACCAGGGCTTGAACCCAGGCGCTGCGGAGTGGAAGCGCGCACTGCTTATCACTACACCACAGCGACCGCCATTTATTATTATTAACTGCAATTTACCCAAACTGGGTCAAAAATACCCATTGGAGTTAATGGTTTAAAATGTTCTTTAAACTAATTTTTTCCTAAATCGCTCAACAGAGCTCTTAAGACAATATTTATGTTTTAACTCTTTAACTTTTATGTAATTTAAACATAAAACAAACACAACCAACCAAAAAGAAGATAAAATAAATTTATCACCTTGCAGTTTTTCATAATTTGACTTAGTGTGGGCCGAAAATCCGCTTTTTCAGAATTTTGGTTGGTAGTAGCAAAAATATGGTTCGTTATGCTCTAAAAAATATCTGTGTGAAGTGTGAAAATTCTTGGTCAATATCCTAGGCTCGCCCAAGTCCATCAAAGTTCAAGTACTAAAAAAATTTTTTTCTTAGCTAACTTCGATTCTCTACAAAAAAGGTCCATTTACCAAATTATGTAGGACTAATTCTTTAGAAGATTATTGCAATTTTAATAAAAAATGTATTAATTAATTTATTTATTAATTTTTATTTTTTGAGCATATTAAACTTTGATGGATATTGACCACAAAATTCCAAATTTCACACAGATTTCTTTTAAAGCATAATGAACCATATTTTTGCTATTATCGATCAAAATTCTAAAAAAGCGGATTTTCGGCCCACGCTACTATACATACATATGTATGTATGCACTCTGAACGTATGAGAAATGTATGTAGTAGATTCTTGTATTTATGCTAGGGATGTAAGTGGCAAAAATATATCGATGTACATACTTCTTTGATTCGATACATCGAAAAGTACACCGATATTTTTCGATACATCGAAGGGAATACATCGATGCATCGATTTGCATAGAATTTTTCAGAAAAATATGTTATAAGCATAATTGTACAAAGTTTGAAATTAATTACTGTAATTGAGCTAATTATGTTTCTAACGAAACTTTTT